CCTATGAGTTGAGTATTTACATAGTGATTTGTATTAATATATATTTCCCTCAGGCACTGGAAGATCTAAATTGCAATTCTGAGCACTCCCTGATTGTACACATGCAACAAGTCTTATAGTTCTTTCATAAGAGTTGAGTGTTTCCATATAAATTTTGTACTAATAGATATTCCCATCAGCTGGTGAAATGTCCAATTTTGTGGATCACTTCATTTTGCAACTATGATCTATCTATAATATTTTTCGAGTTGTCAATATTGTATTCATGACATGAGGAATATTCGTTGAATTAAATCTGAGCCTACAAGTGATATTGTTATCTCTGTTTGTCTCATTTGTTGAGCAATGATGTTATTTTTAGTTCTTCTTGTTGAGCAATTCCATGGTAGATCCCGGGCTTACACTGAACATTGCAACGCCTCGCCTCGCCTCTCAACAGCGCCGCCGTACTGCCTGCACAGCCTTCCGAGTCAAGGTGTTGGTGATGCCCTTCTTCCATGATGATGGTGAGGGATATTGATTCCTCCTTTTCCAAATTCATTGTTTTTTTTGTTGTTGAATTGCTCCTTTTACTTGTTTGGTCACAAGACTCTTTTGCTGCTTGTGATAGATTTGGCAGTGATTTTGGCGTGGGTGTGACATCTCTCCTTCTGCTCCTTCCAATCTCTCAAATTGATTGTCTGTATCTCAGTTGATCTTCTGGTGAGGAATATGATAGACTTGAAGAAAAGGCTGGGTGTTGGCCGCTGCGGTTTCCTTTACTTCCATTCTACGATTCTCAGTTAGTTGCATCATTGTTGGACAGGGAGGGGGACGACGAGGACCTGGCCCTTGTTCGTGGTGGTGTTTCATGTTCTGATAGTTTGTCGTTTGGCGTCAGGAAGTCAAGAACAGGTAATTGATGGGCGGTTGAGCACTATTTTCCTAAATGCATATAGATTAATCATAATCTCTTGGATCCATACAATTGACTTCGATTCTATCTTTCTTACAGAGCAACCATATACCAGGAGGGAATATAACATGCTGACATTGCCAATATCTTCAAAGGATGTTGAGCCTTCAAAACAAATGTATTTTACTACCTTTTTTCTATTCTATCCAGTTGTTGGAGCCTTCTAAACAAATGTATCATTTTACCACAAGGTCTTCTTATACCAGGTTACTAAATGCGTGTTATTCTTATACTGGTAAACTTTTTCTTTAACAGTGGCACAGTGTATTGACTTAATTCTTGGAATATTCTGTGGTTGCAACTGTATTTCAGTTTGGATGCAGTTACAATTATTTCATGGCTAATGACATGCTAGATTTTCCAGACTTCTGGGAGTGTTGTACATATGCAGATTCTTATGAAGGTGCATGTCATCAATTTCTGGCTTCCTTTTATCTTGGCAGCTACTGTTCATATTTTTCGGACACATATAATCTTTGGTGGTCAGTCTATTTGTCCACGAATGAACTTCCATAATTTAATAATTTGGTCCTCTATCTATGGTAGTACTATCAACTGTCATTTTCATGAAACCATATGTTATGTTCATTTATTTTCTGTGCTTTGTAGGATGTGTTCAGTCAGATGATGACATACAATTATGTATCTTGTTCTTCGGGAGGTTTCGTATGCTTGAAAGTTACCGTTTCCTGTCATGAAGATTAGATTTTTCTATACACGAACGATACAGTTTGTTCAAGTTGGATGCCAGTGGTGTCTTGGCTTTGGTAGAAGTGCCCAAAACCTGAAGATTTTGTCATTTTGTTTACATGAACTCAGTTTTCATACAAGTCTTCCCCTGTCTGTTGTTTACATTCAGCTAACTTGGCTATCTATTTGCTAGGATTAGTTGTAGATGGGAGACTTGCCTATTTGTTAGGTTTTTTTTTGACGATCGCCTATTTGTTTAGATGAATTGAGGCTTTCCCGTTTTCCAGAATGGAGTGTGGGCCTTGACTACAAAATCTTCATGTTGGCCAAATTTAGGGTTGCTGTATTAGGCACATCTTATTTCAATCAGTACCTATAGTTTCAGCTCATAGCTTATGAAATTTCTCTTACCTCGGAAAGTATGGTACCATGTCAAATAATGAATGTAATCTTGGTTTTTTTTTTGTTGTCCTTTTCTTACATGTCTTCCTCTTTAGTGATTTACTGCAGAAGTATTATTGCTCTCTTTTCTTACACTTCAAAAAGAAAAACAAATGAACAATTTGAATACCTTTCCAGTGATGAATCTCGATGAAGAAAGGAGAGAACTATAATCTCGGTTAAGATATTTCAGTGGAGACAAGATAGTGTTGTACAATTTGTTTATCATATTCCCTTTCCAACGTATATTTACGCATTATTCACTTGAAATATGTAATCTCTCACAATCAAGTTTGAAGTTACTCTAAAAAAATCATAACATGCTTGGGCATTGTTGTCCAGTACATTATGTTCCATTTTCTCCATATTTATGCTCCGTTTATTTGTGGTTCTATTTTGTGTCATTTTTTATTCATTCATGTCACATTTATTTTCTGCTCATAGACTGTTCTATGGGCAATAGACCTTATACTCTCCATTGATCTAATACCGGGTACTACTCCTTTTTGTTGTTAGCCAACTGAAATTATCTTAGCGAGTCGTATTTGGTGGCTCTTATTTTCAAGCTCCTTGAGTTTTCCATTCGATCTTTATTAAATGTGTGTGATTTGTAGTAGATGTATCATCATTGAAAAGATTATTGGTCGAGACGTGTGTTGCATGTGCAAACTTACTAGTTGCATATGAAAAAACAAAGGATTCTTTCACACAAATTTCAATGGATGCTAGAAATCCTAAACATGAACAATTTGTAAGTATAAAAATATCCTAAACATGAACAATCCTATGGGGAAAACCATATGATTCTTTCAAAGATGTTTGAAAGGATTTTTTAAAAGACGTTTCAAATTTGAGATTCATGAACCATTTTATAAGTACAAAAAACAAGTTCATGACATCCCAAGCATTTTTTTTCGAAGATGTTCTGTATTACAGAAAATGTCATGGATTTTAAAAATGTACATAAGTTTCAAAAAGCATGCACGAATTTGGAAAATGTTCCTAAATTTATGAGGGAACCGAAGGTACAGCTTGTGAACCATAGTGATAATCCCTGCGCCAATGGGCCGGCACACTGGCGGGTCTGTCGTGATTGTTTCGTTCGCTGCAGTTCTTTCGTTAGTTTTTTCTTCTTCTTCCATGTTTTGGTTTTTGTCCTGTTTTTACTTCCGATTTTTGACTTGTTTTATTCTGGTTTTTTGTTTTTTGTTTTTGGTTCCTTTTTGGTTTTTGTTCATTGTTTTCATGTATTATAAATAATGTTCACCCGTATTGCAAAATGTTCGTCATATATTAAAAAATGTTCACTGTATATTACAAAAGGTTCACCGCATATTACAAAAATGTTCACTGTATATTATGAAAAGTTCAATGTGTATTTAATAAATTTTCATCAAATATTACAAAAATATTAGTCATATATTGAGAAAATGTTCACCATACATTACAAAAAGTTCACTGCATATTACAAAATGTCTACTGTATATTACAAAGTGATTATTTTGTATTTGATTTTTTTCACCTATATTACGAAATAAGTAACCGCGTGTTACAAAAAATTCACTGTATATTACAAAAAGTTTAATGTTTATGTAAAAAAGGTTCAACTTATATTAAAAAAATTCACCGCATATTACAAAAATGTTCACTGTATATTAGAAAAAGTTTAATGTGTATTTAATAAATTTTCATCAAATATTACGAAAATATTAGTCATATATCAAGAAAATGTTCACCATACATTACAAAAAAGTCCACTGCATATTACAAAATGTCTACTGTGTATTACAAAGAGATTATTTTGTATTTGAATTTTTTCACCTATATTACAATTTTTTAATGTTTATGTAAAATAGGTTCAACTTATATCAAAAAAGTTCATCGCATATTACAAAAATGTTCATTGTATATTACTAAAAGGTTGAAAGTCTATTGAAGAAATGTTCAACGTATATTACAAAAAAGTTCACTGTCTAAAAAAAATATTCACCATATGTTAAAAAACTGTTTATTGTATATTTTAGAAAACATTCACCATATATTAATAAATTTTTATAGTACAAAAAACGAAATGAAAACAAAAGGTGAAAAAAAAGAAACCACCTTCAGAAAAAACAATAGAAAAACATGCAGCACCGCTTACTGGCTGGCCCATTTACGCTCGCCTTTTGCGTCCACGCATCTGCTTGTCGCCTATGGGTGTCGATGGAGCTCCTTGTGTATTTGAAGAAAAAAAATAAAGAAAAGAAAGGAAAAGGAACAAGGAAAAAAAGAAAGAAAAAAGAAAAAAGAAACGAGACCTCTCGATTCACAGCGAACTGATGAAAGAATAAAATGAAAAAACAGGAAGTTAGTAAGAGCAAGCGTGAAGATATACTAGTGGTTGATGTGGTTCTCTGTGAATCGAGGGGTCTTGAGTTCGAAACTGTCGCCCACACCTTTTTTGAAGGTTAGCTGGAAAGAAAAAAATAGGTTAATGGGCCGGCCTAGCTGGACGGGGTGTGTGCACCGGATGGCGAAGGATTGTCGGGCGTCGAACAAGGATAAATCTTTGGCAATGAGCCAAGATACTGCATGTAATCAAACAGTTCTGTTTTGTTCCTTTTTGTACGACTGTTGCTACTTTGCTATAAGATGACCCGGGATTTACCCTCATTTCAGCCAAAAAAAGGACTGCTCTGCTGCAAATGAACCAATTTTTTTGTAAGGTCCGAGATTTCATTAGGGCATGTACAATGAGCAACATAAGGTGAACAATTCAATCACACTGGATTGCTAAGAGCATTTGAGTTGCCATCTCTCCCTACAGTTAAACCTACGATGAACTTATGGAAACACATAAAAAAGTTACGACCAAATATACTGTCACCGAACCGACACACTAGGTACAATTGCCAATTACAAGCTTCTCAACTTAATGCCCTTTCATGTTTCTTGATTGCTTGGACAACTCCGGGTGGCACCTAGTAATATGGAGTGTTTCCAATGAGGATGGCAGACCACACGTCGGTAAAGATTGGAGCTCTGAGCAGTGTGATATTCTCAGCACTCTGAGCGATGAAAGGCTCCTAAAGTTCAATGGAAATGATGTTGCAGTCACTTTAGGACATCTCTCGATGACCAAATATTTTAGTGAATCAAAAAACTGCAATGAGGATAGAGACTGCAAGAACTGGCAGTTGCGTACAGACAAATCCGTGAGCATTGTGCTAACCCCAACTATTTCCAATGCTGGAAGAGATGTTAAGTTAGGCAGGTCAATTATCTCCAACGAGGAAAGACAAGGCAGAGCCTGGAGAAACCTGCTAAAGTTATAGTCAGTGAAATTGCATCGACGAAGCTGAAGCCTCTGTAGAGAAACAAGGGACCCTATTTCTTCGGTAGCAACGACTTGTTCAGCACCAGTTATGTTTAAGGCTACAACAACCTTTAGATGTTGCTTATGGAGTAACCCGTTGAAGTGGCCAGAAGTTGTGCAAACATCCAGCTGGAGCTTCTCTGAACCTGAAGAAAAAGGCGCAAGCCTCATGTATGGCATGAAGCATGTACGCTCAATGGTAACTTCACGAGTAGTTGCGGAGAAGGGAGGAATTCCGACCAGTTCTGGACAATCCACTATAATCAATCTTTCAAGGCATGGAAATGAGACCTTGTCCTCTGTGCCAGCCCACTGACGCAACTTTGGGAAGTCATCCAATTCAAGGACACTTAGAGATGGAAATGCCACATCAACGTTGCCATAAAACTCATGTCCAATTCGGTCAACTGCACACAACTCCTTCATGTGTAAATATCTGAGTGATCCCAAATTTCCCAATGGAGGAAGGATTCCCAAACTCCTGCAATTGATAAGGTGCAAAGAGCGCACTTGCTGCAATGACAATAGCCAACTGGGAGGTTTGGTGCCACAATACCTTCGTATATGAAGTACCTTTATGTCTTGGTGCGGCTTTAAGCCTTCAAGTACCTCCGCATCAGCAGAAGGTGGGTTATTCCTACTAGCAAAGCTCCATTCTAAATTTAGAGAATTAAGATGTGTTTTCTTATTCAACTCAGCTTTGCATGCTTCTTCATAGCTTGAAACATTTTCTAGACCTTTTATTTTTAGTAGCCCACGAAGACCATTGATGTTCCTCAACTCTTCTAGTTTATGTCCTTCCCTCCTCTCAATGTGGAGCTCAAGTGATCCCTGAAGATTTGCTAGCCGACCAATGCCCACCAATCCTGCAGTATACTTTGTCTCAACAATAAGGTGCCGCAAATTGACTAGCATAATAATGCTAGCAGGAAGCTTCTCAAGGGAACATTCCCCGGTGAAGCGCAATGTTTGCAGGTGGCAAAGCCTGCCAATGGACTCAGGAAGCCTCTGGATGGAGCCATGGATAGAGAGGTAACGGAGGTGCAATAAGTCATTAATGCAATTGGGAAACTCTTTAGAGTTATAGCAACTAAGATCAAGAACATGCAAATGTTTTGACTTCGCCAGGATACCTTTTAAATTCACCACAAAATCTTCTTGGAAGCAACTGGAGGAGGATGAAAGTGATGGTTGGATTAACAAGGTGCGCAACTTTTCTAGCCCGGAAAAGTTTATGAGGCCAGGTAAATTGTTCATGGTGACAGACAAATGGCGCACTGTTGATGGGATGTCAAAATTCATGCCATCATCAATACGGAAGCAGTCCTCCTCCGCAACATACTTTGCAAGTTCATGGAGTAGGCCATGCACCAAGTAATAAGTCTTGTGTCCAATGTTGATCTCCTGAAAAAATGAGCATGAAAGGAGCTGATCAAAATATTCTCTAGCTATGTCTTCCATCCTTTTCTCAGCCCTGCCATGTGGATGTACAAAACCCTCCGCAATCCAAAGGCGGGACAAATGTGCTGGATCAAACTTATAGTCCTCTGGAAACAAACTGCAATATGTGAAGCATCGCTTGAGGTGTCCAGGCAAGTTCTTATAGCTCAAGAGTAGGGCAGAGAAAACAGTGCCATCTTGTAACCCTGTTTCAAGGATATTTCTCCAGTGCGCTTTGCTCCTTGTTTCTCCTAGCAACCCTCCCACCAGCTTGGCAGCCAAAGGTGATCCATTGGTTTTTGTAGCAATTTCCTTTCCAATCAACTTCAGATCTGGATGGACATTCTCGTCATCAATGGGAAAAGCATGTTCCTTGAGCAGGGACCAACAATCATCGGTATCCAGTGGATTTACAGTGTATAGCTGTGAGGAACCCAATATGTGAGGTATCATGCGAGAAGTCACCAAAATTCTGCTTCTGCTATCTGCTGAAAGAAGAGGAGTGACGATGTCCAGTAAGGTTTCATCCTTACTGTTGCATACATCATCTAGAACAATCAGGCATCTCTTGGATGCCACAAATTGACGAAGCTCGGACCGAAGCACTTGAAAACCCACCATCTTATTCTCATCAGATCCAACCCAAGATGGTTGGGCCGATCTTAAAATCTCTGTTGCGAGCTCCATTTGGTTGGAGACACTGGAAACTGACACCCAACACCTGACATCAAAATGCTGCCTGACGCTTTCATCGTTGAATACCATCTGAGCGAGTGTTGTCTTCCCAATTCCTCCATCACCAACAAGAGAGACCATCATCTCCGGTGCAGCCTCACCGCATGATCGGATGAGCATCCGCACGACCTCATCCCTCTCCCTGTCGCGCCCATACACCACTGTCCGACGAGTGTTGCTGACGGAACCAGGCGACGATGGCGGTGGATTGGAAAATTGGCCTTGGCCCTTGTCTAGGAGAGGGACAAGCCTATGAGCTTTCTCATTCATAGCTTTGATCTCCCTGATGATCCTGTCTGGATTGGAGCGGTTCCATCGACATCTCAGAGCAAGAAGCAGCTTGAACAGATGATTGAGAATCTTGTTACGTGGAACAAGGCTAGATTGAAGCCTGCAACACTCAATCTTGTCTTGAATCACTTCGATGGAGTAGGTGGCGTCTCTTGCCTGCTGTGCCGGTGCCCCATGTCGTGGATCGGCTACGGCAGAGATGAACCAGATTTGGAGCATATTCGTCTTGAGCAACTCCAGCTCGGTGGCGACGACCTTGATCCACCTTGGCACCCATTTCCAATGGCCCTGGTCAAGCGACTGGATCTCCTCGGCAAGTCCCTCCATGGCCCGGGCAACCGAACGGACCAGCTCCGGGGCCTCCGCCAGACTAGAAGGATCCAAACCGGACGCCGTGTCGGCCTTTGTGAATTTCATCATGGGATCACCTGGGTTCGAAACAAGGAAAATGAAAATCTTGATTATTAAATAAGAGAAGGGTTTGCTAAAACTCAGTTGACTGAGTTTTAAGAAAGTCTCAGTCGATTGTCTCACCATTAGATCGACAATGCTTTATGATTCCTACAACATTTGTTTATCTTATGTTTAATCAGTCGGCCGACCTGTGCTTTCTTTTTCTTTGCATGGGATAGGGACGCGTGCTTTATGGGTTGGGTGCCCGCGGCCAGGTGAGCTTTTTCTTTGTACTTGTGGGGCTTTTTTGTTTGATTTGTTTTCACTTATCTGTATCCTCGCTTTTTTATTTTTCTAGTTAGTGCTTTTTAACTTTTTTTGTCCGTGTTGCTTGTGACATTGTTTTCTTTTGCATTCTTATTTACAGTATTTTTTGTTTTTATTTCCTTTTTAAAAACTTTTTTCCTACCAACGACAAGATTCTTTCTATCCTTTTATTTATTATTTATTAT